ACACACACATACACACACACACATCTCACATACACACACACAACTCCTACTCACACACACACACACACACACACACCCACACACACACACACACACACACACCACACACACACACACCCAACACACACACACTCACACCGCACACACTCATACACAAACACACAAAACACACACACACACACACACACACACACACACACACTCACACACACACACACATGCACATAAGTGGTAAATGCTTTATATACAGCTAGCAAAGTCAGGGTCTATATCTCCAGAATGGTCTGTAATATACCACAGTGGGATAAAATACTTATAGCCATTACTTGAACACTCTGAGTGAGTTGTTTCCAAAATTCATTAATTTTATCCACATCCAGTACATAATGACGCGGGGGCGAGATCAAAAATCCATCTGGCAAAGATTTACATTTCGTTTGTCTACATCTGGTGGTGTGATTTAACTGCCAAAGATACTTTAAACCCAGCCGGAGCCGGGGCGGTATGACATCAAGAGTCAGCTTATTTTGTGGCATTCACCCAAAGACATGTGGCTCCTCCTGCATGATAGAAGATGATAGATGGGCCTCACTGGTGTCAAGCTCCCTGAGCCATTAAGTCCATAAAATTCAGCTGAAGTTCTTTTTTTCGTATTAATTTCTCAAACTACTACATGACAAGCCAAGATTGTAAACTACTCCCTCTTTGAAAGCATACAGTCTTAGCCACTTTATCATTCTATCTAGCATCTTAAGACCAATGTGAGATGGAATCCACAGCAATGAGGCACTCTGACTCCACTGTCCACAATCCCACCATACCTGTGTCTGGCTTCTGTACACAATGCATGCCACAATTTAAGCTTAAGAGTTGAGAGCAATTATGGATGACCAAGAATCATTACATTTAAACGTGTCAATCTTTGATACAAAGGATGCATTTCAGTGCAAGGAGTATGGCAAACAGTTATGTCTGAAGGTGTAGAGGCCCAATATTTTCATAAAAATTGATGCGTGCTCCAATTTCTTTAAGTGAGCCATCACTCTGTACGAACAACAGCAGCACTACCAGCTAGCCCCAGTGGAATTGGTTGAACATGAACCATCACGTAATAATTTGCATGTGTGCTGTGAGACTAAGTTAACAATACATCTTAAAGTGCCTCATGGTTTGGCTTCAAGGCGAAGTTTTTGTTTGTGATTTAAGAAGTAGTTTTGGGGGAAATGGAGGAATGGTAGTTTGGAATGGGGTAATATTCCATGGAGCGGAGAGTGCCGCTGTTGCCTTACTTGACAAGATCATGTATCTGATTCATGTCGGAGGTCCGGTACCAGTCTATTTCGATATCCATCTGAGGATTGTTCACCATGCTGAGGAAAAGTTCTGGAGGGCTACTGTGCAGAGAAAAGAAAGGGAGGGAGTGGGAGGAGGTTTAGAAATGAGCTCGTCTGAGCAAATTAACCGCTCAGAAAACTTAGGATATTTCTTCGAGTAACACGATCTCTGATGCTTGGAATATCAAGTTCTTTTTGCATATTTAAAAATTTGAGGCAGTACGAGGCATCCTAGATGATCCTCAGATTGCTTCGTTCTGCAGATATTATCTCCAGCCCTCCAAGCTTCCAGTCAACACAAGAAAGTAGTGGCGCAGCAACTCCATCCATGAATCTAATATAAGCAAGACACATCAATTTTCACAATTTTAACATTAGCACCATATACCTGGGTGAAGCCCTGCCACAACTCTAATGCTCTTAGTCGTTCATTTGTATTGGCGACAAAGTCTTGTTTACAACAGGTCCAAGAGTGGAACCTCCAAGCCAGAAACCTGTATCTGCTGCTGTACATATTCTAGAAAGAACCCATCATGCAATTGGAATCTACGAACGTGCCTCTCTGTCGAGGGAGGACGCCTATTGAGTAACTTGTTTTAATCAGTAAGAGATTATCAACCCCAGGTCCCTGACATACGAAGGCTAGTACATGATTTAAGAATGTTATGGTGTTTGGAGAATCCGTGGTGTAATCATTATATCATCAGCAAAACAATCCATCATAATAAAGGGGCTGACTAGGCAAGCATTAAATGGGGGTGTTAATGCATTAAAAAGAATATGGAACAGGTGTGGGACTGAGCACACTCCCTGTGGGTTTCCTAATTATCAATGTTCTTTAGTTAACACTTCTAATGTCCCTCGGAACAACACAGACATTAATCTGTTGGACAGGAAGCCTTTAATCCAGCGGAGTAAGCCATCGCTCCAACATCCATGTCTGGCAAAAAAATTTTAAATTTTGTACATCAATTTATCCAGACACCATTGGCATCTCTCTAGCAGCGAACTGGTAATTCAGAGTATAGCATTCCGGGGCCCCAGAGTTGTGTTAATAGTTTGGTTCAACTAGCCACTAATGTGAGAGCTGACTACCTCACCACGATGATGTTGTGCTTGTTTGTCTTGCTGAGTTTATTTATTTTTATTATTTGGATATGATACATAGATACATAGTTGTACAAAAGAAATACAGTGGTTGAGTGTACATGCCAAAAGCCCCTTGTATGCAGAACATTGTGGGCAGGCTTAAGCCAGGGTCTGACTCAGCCAGTGTGACCAGATCTACCTGGAGTTCATTACCTTTGTAACTTGTTCAGCTATCATAACTTTGGGATCCAGTCCCTGGATCCATTATGTACCTCTGTAATCTATTGACTAACGCCCACAGGATGGGTATGGGGTGCATAATGAAGATATTAAGCTGGTCCAGTCCCCTCCTCCTCCTGCTGTGAGTGGCTCTTTGCTTTGTTTTATCGTTATACTGATACTTTAACATGTAAATACCGCACAGTGTTGAAGGTATATATGGGTAAAGAAAAACTTTCCTACGTTTATTGTCAGGTTGCTCTTAAGTTACTAACTTTGGTTACGACCAGATGCAACAGCGCTTGAATTGCTACCTGTGTTCTCAATACTCTTAAAATGTGCCATGCTGAGCATGACGTTATATCAGCACATACAAAAAATATTAAATTTGGTTAAGTATAGCTTACATAAAACTTATTATCGCGGTTAAGATATATTGGTAGAAAATTTATTAAATGTATTTTAGCAGGTTTGAGAGACAAAGCAAATTAATAACTTCATTTACCTCATGTACAATATATGAAATACAGCAGAGAAGCTTCTGTAGCAACACTTGTACACATCTTCCAGTTCACTTAGGTACACTTGCAGTCATGTACCTGGGGATGTTACCAGTGTCGCAACACTAGCTGCAGGTACCTGGGGAGGCTACCAGTGTAGCAACACTAGCTGCAGGTACCTGGGGATGTTACCAGTGTAGCAACACTAGCTGCAGGTACCTGGGGAGGTTACCAGTGTAGCAACACTAGCTGCAGGTACCTGGGAGGTTAACAGTGTAGCAACACTAGCTGTAGGTACCTGGGGATGTTACCATGTAGCAACACTAGCTGCAGGTACCTGGGAGGTTACCAGTGTAGCAACACTAGCTGCAGGTACCTGGGGAGGTTACCAGTGTAGCAACACTAGCTGTAGGTACCTGGGGATGTTACCAGTGTAGCAACACTAGCTGCAGGTACCTAGGGAGGTTACCAGTGTAGCAACACTAGCTGCAGGTACCTGGGGAGGTTACCAGTGTAGCAAAACATAGCTGTAGGTACCTGGGGATGTTACCAGTGTAGCAACACTAGCTGCAGGTACCTGGGGAGGTTAACAGTGTAGCAACACTAGCTGTAGGTACCTGGGGATGTTACCAGTGTAGCAACACTAGCTGCAGGTACCTGGGGAGGTTACCAGTGTAGCAAAACTAGCTGCAGGTACCTGGGGAGGTTACCAGTGTAGCAACACTAGCTGTAGGTACCTGGGGATGTTACCAGTGTAGCAACACTAGCTGCAGGTACCTGGGGAAGTTACTAGTGTACAACACTAGCTGCAGGTACCTGGGGAGGTTACCAGTGTAGCAACACATAGCTGAAGGTACCTGGGAGTTACCAGTGTAGCAACACTAGCTGCAGGTACCTGGGGAGGTTACTAGTGTAGCAACACTAGCTGTAGGTACCTGGGGATGTTACCAGTGTAGCAACACTAGCTGCAGGTACCTGGGGAGGTTACCAGTGTAGCAACACTAGCTGCAGGTACCTGGGGAGGTTACCAGTGTAGCAACACTAGCTGCAGGTACCTGGGGAGGCTACCAGTGTAGCAACACTAGCTGCAGGTACCTGGGGAGTTACCAGTGTAGCAACACTAGCTGCAGGCACCTGGGGAGGTTACCAGTGTAGCAACAACTAGCTGCAGGTACCTGAGGAGGTTACCAATGTAGCAGCACTAGCTGCAGGTACCTGGGGAGGTTAACAGTGTAGCAACACTAGCTGCAGGTGCCTGGGGAGGTTACCAGTGTAGCAACTCTAGCTGCAGATACCTGAGGAGGTTACCAATGTAGCAACACTAGCTGCAGGTACCTGGAGGTTACCAGTGTAGCAACACTAGCTGCAGGTACCTGGGGAGGTTACCAGTGTAGCAACTCTAGCTGCAGGTACCTGAGGAGGTTACCAATGTAGCAACACTAGCTGCAGGTACCTGGAGGTTACCAGTGTAGCAACACTAGCTGTAGGTACCTGGGGAGGTTGCCAGTGTAAACAACACCAGCTGTAGGTACCTGGGGAGGTTACCAGTGTAGCAACACTAGCTGTAGGTACCTGGGGATGTTACCAGTGTAGCAACACCAGCTGTAGGTACCTGGGGAGGTTACCAGTGTAGCAACACTAGCTGCAGGTACCTGGGGATGTTACCAGTGTAGCAACACTAGCTGTAGGTACCTGGGGAGGTTACCAGTGTAGCAACACCAGCCGCAGGTACCTGAGGAGGTTACCAGTGTAGCAACACCAGCCGCAGGTACCTGAGGAGGTACCAGTGTAGCAAACCCAGCCGCAGGTACCTGAGGAGGTTACCAGTGTAGCAACACCAGCCGCAGGTACCTGAGGAGGTTACCAGTGTAGCAACACCAGCCGCAGGTACCTGGGGAGGTTACCAGTGTAGCAACACCAGCCGCAGGTACCTGGGGATGTATTATCAGGCTGTGTACTACCTGCACTACTGTATATTTAAGTACTTGCTGTTTAAAAGGTCATTAATAATTCCTTCTGGCAAAATCTTAGCAGTTATTATTCACAACAATAAGTGTTGCCGCAACACAAAGAAAATGAAGCAAAATACCAGTTTTTTTAAGCTTGCTCCTCAAATTTGCGCCATAGGAATAAAAATTATTTTTTATATTTTCAACTAATGAACTTTAAAAACAAACTCATTCAAACTAGAACATTCACATTACTGCACATTCGTAGAATGTTAGAAAGACATTCGTATGTTCTATACCACTGCCACACGTATACAACCACTGCTAACATACAACCTCTGTACCACTGCCACACGTATACAACCACTGCTAACATACAACCTCTATACCACTGCCACACGTATACAACCACTGCTAACATACAACCTCTGTACCACTGCCACACGTATACAACCACTGCTAACATACAACCTCTGTACCACTGCCACACGAATACAACCACTGCTAACATACAACCTCTGTACCACTGCCACACGTATACAACCACTGCTAACATACAACCTCTGTACCACTGCCACACGTATACAACCACTGCTAACATACAACCTCTATACCACTGCCACACGTATACAACCACTGCTAACATACATATAACTTTCTAGCGTCTGGAGTGCTGCACATCTGGGAATCGTAACCCAAAACGTTGTGTTTGGTGTTGTAGAAGAGGCAGGTACTGGCTGCGAGGGTCACCTCCACCTTCAGGCTGCTCGGCCGCTGCTTGCCGTCGATGGCTTCTGTCAGGTTATAATTTTACAGTAAATACACTGACAGGTGAAAGATAACACTAGAATGTCAGTAAAAGTATTAATGTATAAGTTAACATTACCACTAAAAAGTCTAAGAGTTGCTTTCAAGAAGCATAGAATAGAATTATGGATTCATAGCATAAGATAAGATAAGATAAGATAAGATTTCGTTCGGATTTTTAACCCCGGAGGGTTAGCCACCCAGGATAACCCAAGAAAGTCAGTGCGTCATCGAGGACTGTCTAACTTATTTCCATTGGGGTCCTTAATCTTGTCCCCCAGGATGCGACCCACACCAGTCGACTAACACCCAGGTACTATTTGCTGCTAGGTGAACAGGACAACAGGTGTAAGGAAACGTGTCGAAATGTTTCCACCCGCCGGGAATCGAACCCTGGCCCTCCGCGTGGGTTCGATTCCCGGCGGGTGGAAACATTTCGACACGTTTCCTTACACCTGTTGTCCTGTTCACCTAGCAGCAAATAGATACCTGGGTGTTAGTTGACTGATGTGGGTCGCATCCTGGGCGACAAGATTGAGGACCCAAATGGAAATAAGACAGTCCTCGATGACAAATTGCCTTTCTTGGGTTATCCTGGGTGACTAACCCTGCGGGGTTAAAAATCCGAACGAAATCTTATCTCTTATTTAATTTAAAGATATTTTAAATAAAATTATTCATATGCATTTGAGGATACCTGAGGCATTCTGCTGAATGGTCGTCCAGTGAGCTCAAGAACTCTTTCTTCTTCCCAGATAAAAGTCTGTGTTTCTTGATATGTTTATTTATTTGAGCGTATATAATAGGCTTGTACTTATCTCCTGAGAGCAGTTGAACTTTATCAATGTGAGAGCCAAGTCCAGGACAGGTGAGGAAGAAGGACTCTATAAGGTAGATTAACTCTAAGCGTGACGTCAGTGAATACAGTGTTGAGTCTTCCATTACTTTCTGAAAATAATCATCACTTTAGATATATTGTTGTCACTGTATATGAAGATATGTTTAATGTAGCAACATTAAATATAACTTCATATAACAGTAGTTATCAATATTAAAACATAATACAGTATATAGCAATGATTTCTGTTAGTAAGGTTAAAGCCTGTTGACCACACTAAGGTCGTTCAAGCCGCACTCTAAACTTTTCATCGCCACACAATACTATAATTCCTAAAATAGGGATTTAATTAAACTCTCACCGTATATACGCTGACAAAAAAACTCCCCTCAGGTGTGTATTCAATGAATGATCTAATTAACATTAACACAACTGAATTTCACGCACATTTATATACAATAAATGAATGCTTTAAGTTTTTTAAATAAAATATGAATATACAATTACTATTTCAGCTAGACAACATTTATGTTTTTCTTTGAGTTTACAAGAACATAATCAACATTAAAAATTATGGAATCATGAAGTATATAGGGCAATGTTTCTCAGTTTACCAGACAACCATCTGTGAAATTAATTATGTTACAAATTACCGCTGGGGCTACAGGGGGAAAAACCTGATTTTTTTTAAGTAATAAATTTGGTAAGATAAGGGAAAAAGTCACAGTAGGTCGCAGGCTGAATTC